AACTTAATACATTAGATTAAATTTTCAGAAAATGCACATTAGGAAGAAAATAACTACAAACTTGATACATTAACATAAGGATGTAAATAGAACTAACCTTACGAACACCGTAAACATAAATAAAATCATATTGCTTCAAACGTGGAATTTCTTTCTATCAAACTTGCGCTTCCATGTTGTCACTCAAGATGCGATTTGTATGATCTCAAACCGGTCACATGGGTTGTTAGCCCCGATTGATAGACTGGGAAGTATGTGGTCTCCTCCGCATGCATTTATTGCGTATTGCATACGTTATATTGCTTTAATTGCTATGACGAGGTTCAAGAATAAGAAGATAAAGAAATAGATTATCAGCATGGATAACTTATTCAATTTTACCATTCGTTTTTTGGTCTTAGTCTTCGTTTAAAATTATTATTCTTACAGGTAATTATTTTTCAGGCTACACATTACTACAATCGAGCTTTCATGCAAGACTGAAAAATTTGAGAAAGTATAGAGAAGAGGTGTATAACTTTGCAGCTGAGATACCTCTGAAAAACTAAGCATATGCTTATAACGATCAAGGTCGACGTTAATGTCATATGACAACCAATCTTGGCAAGTGTATCAATTCAATGCTAAAAGGAACTAAACATCTTCCAGTGGAAAGTATTGTTCAGGAGACATACCTTAAATTGGGTAAAGTTTAGGCAGACAAAAGTGCCCAAGTAGAGGCAATGCTCAGCAAAGGTAGAAATTGGGCTTCAGATCTAGAGAAAGCAATGACCAAAAATCAAACTCATGTAACATCAATGTATGTTCGTAATTTCACCAGACTGAAATCTAATTATATTGTCCAAGCACTAGTTCGACCACATGAGGGTGAGACTTCTGCTACCTATATTGGTAATTTGAATAGAATATGATGTATTTATGGTCGATTTCAAGCCTTCAGATACCCATGTGCTTACTTGATTACTGCATGTATGCATATGAATGCATACTCATACATTTATGCTAATGATTGTTATAGCTTGCATACTATGCGCAACATACGCAGTTACAAGTTTAAATATCTCCCGAACAATGCATATTGACAGCCTACTGTCTCTAAAAAATGGTTACCCAATATGTAATTATGAAGAAGTTAAGGGGTCGTCCTGAATCTAGTCGAATTCATACTAAAATGGATGACCCCAAAGAGAGCAAGGCATGTCAAAGCTATGTGGCCATTGCAGAGGTGAAGGCCACAATAGGAAGCATTGTCCACATCTCCCAAGATGTCGAGCAGGCCGATAATCCTTGTGTTGATCAAGAATAGACTTTATTGATTGAAATAGTCATATTTACATCCTTATGTTAATGTATTAAGTTTGTAGTTTTTTTTCCTAATGTGCATTTCTGAAAATTTAATCTAATGTTCATAGTTTATTATACTTTTCAACATAATCTACCACATTTTAGAGAGCAAAAAAATCTAAAAGAACTTGTCACTTCGATGTGACAAGTTCCTATGTATTTTATTTTTGTTTCTAACATTAAATTCGCATAATAATCTTAAAAAATAATTTTTTTAATAGAACTTGTCCCCTCGAGGTGACGAGTTTCACAGGAAATATTAAAATATTAGGCCCTAAATATAAAAATTATATCTTATAAAACTCGTCACCTCGACATAACGAGTTCACCTTGGACTGTAGAAAATGTCATAGCTCCCAAATTAATTTTTAAGGTGCCCTATTGGGTCAAATAATTACGGCGGGTGCCCTATTGGGCCAAAAAAACCCATTAATTAAAGGTTTATATTACAAATAAATACCTAAAATATGTCCTCTTTTACATGTAAGTACCTAAAGTATTTTTTGATCAAAATAAGTATATAAAGTTATATTTTTTGTCAAAATAGGTAGGTACCTAAAGTATTTTTTGTCAAAATAGGTACCTAAAGTATTCAATTTTTTCATCTAAGTATTTAAAGTATTTTTTAATTAATGTCACATGTCGCCTTTTTTAGAACTTAAATTAAAAATTTTGAATAGTTTAGGTACCTATTTTGACATAAAATACTTTAGGTATTTGTTTTGACCAAAAAGATAACTTTAGGTACTTATTTTAACCAAAAAATATTTTAGGTACTTAAATGAAAAAATGTATACTTTAGGTACTTATTTGTGATAGAAGCCTTAATTAAATAATACTTTAAGTACTTGGATGAAAATTTTGAATACTTTATCTATTTTAACAAAAAAATACTTTAGGTACCTATTTTGATAAAAAGAATAACTTTAAGTATATATTTTGACCAAAATACGTTTGATACTTAAATGAAGAAAATGATATACTTTAAATACTTATTTATTATATAAATCAAAGTTTTATGAGTTGGATCGAATCGTAACATGAAAATAACTTCGAATCATTAATTATAAATAATATACTCTTTTAAAAAATATTGCTTCCTATTTATATTATCATTAAATTTAGGGTATACTATGCCAATAGTCACTCATGTTTGGGGTAGTGTTCGTTTCTACCACTAATGTTTAACAAGTCACAAATCGGTCACTAACGTTATCGTTTGTTATAAAATGGTCATTCGACGTTAACAACAGTTAGTAGACATAACGGAAATCACAGCTGGATCGTTATCTACTGAGTTAGATCGTTGACTGCCACATTAGAATCATTTTGACCGACTCTTCTTCTTCTTCAACCCACCCTATCTTTTTCCTCAACCCAACCAAATTATTTCTTTTCATCTCCTAATATTTCCCCAGAAAAAATCCCATTTTTATCGTAATTTCCTCTTCTTTGCGGCATGAACTTGAAAACTTTGATTGCAGTATCAAGCCTTCTGCATTTTGCATACATATCTAGCATGGCAGTTTCCACCATGATATCCATCTCCATCCCCATCATCTTTAAGCCATAAACATGAACTCATCTACCAATCACCACATCTCCGGACTATTCACAAGCTGACAGTAAAGAATAAAGTGTTATATAATTCAATTTAAATCCATAATGAAACAACATCTGACTCAAAAGCAAAAATCCATCCTTGCTAAATCCATTCCCTACATAGCCAACAATCATTATCGTCCATACGACCTCGTTTCGGTATGGCATATCATCGAATACCTCCTTTACATTACTTACACCCTCCCACATCAACACCTCATCCAAAACCACTATACATGACACCACATTCTTCTCTTCCATCTCACCAAAACCCTTCTCATATTCGCCACCATCCCAGACTTTCCACACATATCCATCAACGCATTACACACTTTCACCCTCCCTTCTAGACTCATCTTTGTTGTGGTTGCTTGGCTTTAACGTGAGGTTTAAGGTGGTATCTTTTGGTGTGTTTAAGGTTTTGTTAAGCAATGACAAATATACTTTTTTGATGGAACATTTGGGATTTGAAGTTCGTAGGCTTAGCCACATGAAAAGTGTTGTTAGACCCAAAGTGAAGACGAAGCTCCAACAACATCTACAACATCCTCTACCGGAATTCGATATGTTTTTCAGTGACTGAAGATTGGTTTATGTAAAGGGTATTTATGAGAAAGAAATGATCGGAATGAGGGGTTAAAGCCTAAAAGGAAATGTAGCTGCTTATCCACCTCCGAAATCAGAACCGAATTCGGAAAGTATGGTCAAAATGGGAATTTTTCTGGGGAAATATTGGGAGAGGAAAAGAAACAGTTTGGTTGGGTTGAGAAAGAAGATGGGGTAGAAAAGCAGGTCAAAATGGTTCAGCGATCCAACTCATCAGATAATGGTCTGTGATTTCCATTACATCTACTAACTGTTGTTAACAACCATTTTGTAACAAACGATAATGTTAGTGATTGATTTATGACTTTTTAAACATCAGTGGTGAAAATGAACACTACCACAAACATGAGTGATCATTGGCGTAATTTACCATTAAATTTAATGTTAATAATATCAATTTTATCATTGAAACGAAAAATTAACTTAAATTAAATTATAGTAAAATGAATCCCTTAAGTAAGATTAGGGGTTTGAATTTTGACGATCGCAAATGGAACAAATTGGATTGAGAGAGTCGCTCTTGTCTCTACAATATCCGATCCAGATTAATCAGTCAATAGATCAGATACAAATGGTTATAAAAAAAATATTTTTTAAATTTACGAGAGAAAACAATTAAACTCCTCATTTTTTTTTACATTCAATTAAATTTTTAAACTTCAAAATTTATCAATTCATTTTTTTTACCAATATTGACCTTAAATATTTTTTATTTATTGGTGCCATATCACACATCACAATAATTTCAAGTGACATTTTAAAAAAAATATTAATTTTTAAAAATTGTAAAAATTATTTTAATACTTCAATAAGTTTTTTTATTTAGAAAAACTATAAATTTCATGTTATAAATCTTCAATGCGACTTATGACAATAATATCTTAAAAAAATAATTATTAAAATATGTAAAATTGATCAAATATGTTAATTGATTCAATTTTTCGATTCGATAATTTAAATGGTTTAATTTCTCAGTTTAAATATTCAATTGGGTACAAAAAATTCAAGGGCTATATTGATTTGTTTTCAAAAGTTGAAGGACTTCATACACCATTGAACCTTTAAAAAAATAACTAGAAAGTTGTTCTTATCCTAATATATATTAGAATAAATTATGCATTTAGTACCTAAACTATCTGTTTCGATCCGTTTTAACACCTAAACTTTTAATTTTTCAAAATCTTACCTAATGTTTAACTTTTGTTTCATTTTAATATTCGTCGTTAAAAATTTAATGCGTTTAGTACCTAAACTATCAGTTTTAGTCTATTTTAGTACCTAAACTTTTTAAAAAAAATTCAAATCTTAACGATAAATTTTTAACGGATACTAAAATGAAACAAAAACTAAACGTAAGGTATGATTTTGAAATTTTTTTTGAATGTTCAAGTTTTAAAACGGACAAAAACTGTTAGTTTAGGTACTAAACATATAGTTTACCCAATATTTTCATACAATTGAAACTACATTTGATCAAATTCTATACCAAATCATCTAAGAAGCTAAAAGAAAATACTATCAAAATACTAATCTTCACAACATTTCTTTTACCTATTACATTCACTCTCTCAAATTAAGCCTTGCATTTTGAACTTTAACAGACAGCTTCAACTTCTGTTCTTCCATGTCCCTCAACACCGACAGCAGGTTCGCTCTGTACACTTCGCAGCGTCGGTTTATGTTCTCCAACTCCGTCGACAATTCCTGGACTTTCTTTTCCTTCTCGTCCTGTTCAGCAAGACGATAGGGGAAAAACATGAATTTGAATCACAAAAAACAATGAAACGGTGATGGCAAGACATCCGAGATTGTTTCTCGTGAAATTATTTTCTACGTTAATTCAGTAACGAACTGTGCATTTTATTTCTATGTTCAGAAATCAGTAACGAACGATATTCTTATTTGTATAAATGGTTCTTCGAGCTAGGAATGGGCAGGAATAATAAAAAATACTTGAACTATTGTGTTGCTCCTGCCTTATCTACCACTCAATACCTTTGGTTTTTACTCGGATCCAACGAAAAATATGGAAGAACTTTTTAAGTGTTTGTTGAGAATGATTACGATCTAGTTTAGGTCGTATTAGGAGTAGAAGGCTCTCAAGTCAGTTCGACCAAACAGAAAAACATTGTGGTCAGTTCGGTTATGATCAATCCTCTCGATAAAGAGAGTGCATTGTATGTATACATACATACTGACTTGAATCATTGAGGCAGTTGTGTAAAAGAGTTAGCATTGATTAGAGTCATGTCGGTACGGTACCACTGTTATTATCAGATGAGTACTGTTGATGACTCGATGAATATACCAACAAAAGAACAGGATCGAATGAATCAATGCTCACTAACCGACCAGACCCTAAACGCAAACTACCTAATTTGAGATTAAGACGAAAACATATGTAAGAATAGTTCAGAACCTCAATAGGAAAGATAAAGCCTGCTTCTAAAACGGTTAAATCCTACATTCAGCGACTTAGGATTAGTTGTAAACAGCTCAGATTCCTATTCTTAGATGCCCCTAGAAAAAAGTATCAAGTAATCTCGTCAAATAACAAGATGAATTAGTGATACAGTCCATTCGAGAAGATTCATAACAGGGGGCATTATCAAGCTAGATAAAGTCCTAAAGTAGGAGAAACTGACCACAGATTGGCATGCCATTGTCTCAGTATTTCCAGCAGCATGCAACTCTTGATTACGTCCACTGCTAAGTGCTCCATCTTCTGCCGATATAGGGCTTTGGTTTTTATTAGAAGTAACCCTTTTCAGTGCATCTTGTAAAGCATCCATTGCCACGTTGTAAACATGAATAGATTTTGCCCCTTCTTCGACGTACTTAATAGCTTCTTGGCGTAGGATGTTATACCGATCCGTTAAGGACTCAGGAGAATTATTTGGCAAATCAGAAGCATGTTCATCCTGCACATCTCCAATTTTGGCAGTCCTAGTCCATCGCTTTAGTACATATTGCGAAGGCAGTGTAAGAACATTTTTTGCCCTGAAAACTGCTAATATGTGCCTGCATATTATCCCAGAATGTTCAAACATTTGGCAGCTGCAATTAGCTTTCATCTCAAAGGAGAAGAAACTGACGGTGTGTGCTTTGTGCTCTACCCTAAATTTGGCCACCCGATATGTTGCGACAGTTCCCGAATCATCAATTTTAGTGGCAGGATTAGCAAGGGTCTCGACTAGCTCCTCTTGGAACTTTATGAATATTCTTCTTGTATAGAGATTAGCCGCTTGTTTTTCCATGGGAGACGGTGTCTTAAGAATCGGTGAAGTGTTGGTGGTGTCATAATCAGCCTTCAGCTCTTTCTCGTGCCAATTCGCTACAGCTTTCTCATACTGTTTAATCAACATCTGTATGGTAGTTGATGCATGCACAAACCCTTCAAAAAATGAGTTTAAGCCTACGTTTCTCTCGGTTATAGAGAAGTCCCCAAAGAAGGTATCTCGCAAATAAACAGGGACCCACTGTTGCCGAGCATTGTACATCGACTGAAGCCATTCGTTATCCATGACAAAGTAACGTTCCAGAAGTGATAACCAAGATGACTCAAACTCATTAATCGTCTCAGCCTCGTCAACACATTTCTTAAATTCTATTTCGAACGTGGGATTGGATTGGTATATGTGAGCCAGCTTTTCTTGAGTTTCTTTGAAAATGCTCCATCTATTGAAGCGAAGGCGTGCTTCTGGAAGAACCCGCGTAACAGCCGTCTGTATGAGACGATCAGGGTCGGTTGTTATAGAGATGGGACGACGATCAGACATTGCATGAAGCCAGGTTTGGAATAGCCATGCAAACGAGGACTCGGACTCGTTGAGAATTAAAGCACATCCAAACAACACCGGCTGCCCATGGTGGTTGATTCCTGTGAACGAGGCAAATGGCACCCTGTAGCGATTTGTCCTATATGTTGTGTCAAATATGACGGTATCACCAAAGTAAGTATAGTTCATCCTTGCTGTAGCATCCGCCCAAAATATGTTTCCACCGGTCTGGTCATTATCACCTTGAATTGCATAAAAGAACGAAGGATTCTCCACTTGCATTCGTCTCAGATAGTCCAATATATGGTGAACCCCACCCCCTAGGGTCCGGTGTCTTGTGGCACTCATTTATCTCTAGAATCCCACTGTATCAAACACAAAGAAGGAAAATGTGTTGAGTTTCTCATTCAATTTCTTTGTAAATACTAAATACACATTTCAACAGGCTTCAACAGTGGCTCACCGTCCATACTTACCAAAAGGTATACTTTATCAGCTCGTCGATTATTTTAAAAATGTCATCAGAACTCAGTTTGCTATGACAGCTTTACCTATTTAACAATTTAAGGGTCGATCTAATAAGGTCGACTGAATAAATAACAATCCGCTAGAGCTAATATTCTTTACATTGTCTTCCTTTTACCAAAAACAAGCATAAGATATTCCAGAAACAGGCAGTGAAGTATGATATTACTTTGGTAAAACAATATTAAGCTTTCGAATTCCAGTTTCGAACCCGAATATTAGTTCAGTTAGTTCACACAACCATCTTCAAGAGGTAATACCAAGCAAATCCGGAATTCGAATTCCAGCATCCATCCATCCATCCATCCATACATACATATTATAATGTTTTCCGTGAAGTCTCTAGTGAAACAACATACATCAAAATCATTCCATTCAAGAAACGAAAGTTTACTCCAAGTAAGAGTGTAACTCTAAATTATAAGCATTGAATCAATTAGAAACAAAAAAAAAAATACCAATTCATACACCGAAGAAGACGATAACAAAAAGACCCTAAACGAAAACATATGAATAATTGACGGATGATGATAAGGCAAGAACAGGGAACTCACCCTAAGCCCCGATTGAGATAAAAGCTGAACACTTTCACGGCGGTTTCACCGAGAGGTGACGAATTGGCTAGCTGTTGATGAACTTGAATCGAAGCTTGGAGATGGGTCGAAAGGATTTAATGTTCTTGGTTAACGGGTGGGGCGGATTCAGGCAACATTTTTGGGATTTACCCACACATTTTTTGTAAAGGGTAAACTAATTATTTAGTAATTAAACTATCAGTTCTTATCCTTTTAGTACCTGAACTTTTAATTTATCAAAGTTATACCTAAAGTTTAGTTTTTTTTATTTTATTTTAGTATCATACCATTAAAATCTTAACAGATGGACTGGTGGGGCATAGTTTTGAAGGACGGACGACCAATCTGAACGGTGAACCATGATATAATGACAAGTCGACCAACATAGTCCATCTGATAATTGATGACGGAGATCGGAGGATGGAGAAATCGAAGAGACAATCATTGATTTGAGAAGATTAAAGTGTTTCCTTGTGAAATAAATGTCAAAATCACGTTTAGGGGTCGAAAAGGTGCGAATTGAAAAACTTGGGCTTTATTGACCGACGAATGTCACGGTTGGCTACTAAAGACGCATCGGTTGACAAACTCATCCGTTAAATTTTTAACGGGTGGTACTAAAATAAAACAAAAATTAACTATCAAAGTTCCATGGCCCATTTATTTGGTTTTTTACTTGACGTATGGTTTTATTTTTTTGGGTATAATGATAAAATTGGTCTTTAGCATTTGATAAAATGATTATTTTGTATTTTTTGAAGTATTATGATTTCGAAGTTTCAGTTTAAGACAGAATGCCCCCTACACGATCAAAAGCAAGGATAGATGGAGCAACCAAGTGATGGGCGCAGGACTCATGTTTGGTTTTGATGGTCAGAAGAATGGAACAGAAGCTTATTATATATGATACTGAAGTGTCTGATTTGGTAAAAGGAGATATCCACATAGTGAAGGCTATTGGGTAGATAAGGTATGCAATTTCCTAATGAAGTAGTCAATAGGGGTTTGCAAATCCGGGTACTCGGATATTTGGGTAATTGATTTCTCGGCCCGTGTCCCGACCCAGATTTTACGGGTACCCGGATACCCTTTTTTTCTTCAAATTATTAATTAAAAACACACACACAAATTTAACTGTTCGAATCTTCGAATTACATGGTCCAACATCCAAACATAATTAAAAAATATTAGTCCAACATCCAAACATAATTAAAAAAAATGTCATGTTAGCTTCATTGTTCATTTTTAAATATGGGTGACCAAAACAGAATCAAAACGTAACGTTAGGTGTAATTTTGTAAAAAAATAATAATTGAGTGACCAAAACATAAATTAGATAATATGTAAGTGACCAAATAGGTAGTTTACCCTAAAAAAACCCTAACGGGTTTAGTGTACTCAAAAATTCAATTTTGTGACTCGGACCTGACTCGGGAAATGTCAGGTCAGGTACCCGACCCGGCCAGATAATGTTTTTAGACAATTACCCGAATTTTTAAATTCGGATCGACGGGTTGGGTCGAGTATTTTTGCACATCCCTAGTAGTCATATGACTCCGTATAATACCAAGATGAAAATATTTTTGCAATATTTCATGAAAAGTTTGGAATATTCTTGTGTAGCAATTAGGGCAGTAAACAAGTCGAGTTGAGTATGAGTATCGTTAAACTTGATTCGAAAAGTTTAAAATTAAACTGGATTCAACTCGAAAACTTGTGAGGTTAAAATTATCTAGTTCGATTTGGATTTGAAATTAAAATTTGAAGCTTGACTTAACTCAAAAGCTCATGAGTAGGAATCCACCCGACCCAAACCCAAATCTTTTATAAAAAATAATTTGATCCTATCGAATCGGATCGAATCGAAACCCATCGAATTCATTTTAAATTTTCATCCCACTCAAACTACATGTAACGGAAACTCTATTCCAAAGCCAAATGTGGATGGCATGCGATCCGATTACTTCTAAAGGGGAAAAACACTATTTTGTTAAAAGAAAAACAATAACAAAATCTCAACGGCAAAAATCGAACCCCATTTTCATTTGAATTTATCATCCTGTCAATATAAACGATGGTAATTCACTCTAAGGTTGGTGTCGATCATTATACTCTCGATTTTGACAATATGACCACATAACTATTTAAGTGATTTTAATGTAGTCACTTTCCGTTTAAAACAGACGGTTTAACTTATGTGGACCTTTGACTCGCGGTTAGTCAATAATAACCATACCAACTATGACTTATGTTTTTAACGAAAAATGATTACATTAAAACCATTTAAGTTGTTATATGGTCATATTGTTAAAATTGGAAGTATGGTGGTCATATCGACACCAACCTCATAGTTAAGTGGTCATTTGAGTAGTCTACCTTTTTTTTTTGAAACATTTTGGTCTTCAACATTTCATTTTGGAACAAAATGACATCTTTACGGATAGAAATCATTGGTTAATAAACGACAAATGCTCCAAAATAAGGTTTTTATCGTAAAATAAAATATTGAGGGCCAAAATGCTCCGAAGAAAGATAATAAGAACTAAAGTGACTATTCGATCAAACGTTAGATATTCTATTATTCTGAAATAAAAAGCTGGTAAATGCTCCGGAACAAAATATAGGAGTAGAAAGGACTATTTTGATAAATATTGGAGGTTAATTTTAACAACAATTTTTAACGTAAACTCTAAAATCATGCATCATCTTGTAGTGGCGGTACTTTAGGGTGAGCATGTACCCACTTTGAAATATGGATTTTCTTCAATTAGTTCTTTATTTTATTGATAGTGTTAATCTTGAATTTTATTCGTGTCCACCCTAAAACTAAATTTTCTTCGATTAGTTCCTTATTTTATTAATGATGTTCATCCTAATATTTTATTTGTTTCCACCAGTTCAAAAATTTTATATTGTTAATTTATGTGTGCCCACCCTAAAAATTATTTCTTAATCCGCCGCTACGTACCTGAACTAGATCAAATTATGCAGATATGAGAGTCTTTACTTCTGCATGTGCATCGACCCAGATGGCAATGAGCTAGAATCAGAGATTCTGGAAATCATTCACCACTACGTTGAGGTTCTCGACAGATACTTTGGCAGTGTGAGTTGATGGAACTTTATTTATTGCCATGCACACACAAAAACCCTATTTTTCTTCTCTGATTCTGATTCATTTAGGTGCCACCAGGTCTGTGAACTGGACTTGATCTACAACTTCCATAAGGTATGTTCATTACCCTTTTCATGTCTTTTGAACATTCAAATTGCATCCCTAAACTATGAATCTCATTCTAAATTAATCCCTAAACTTTTAGATATTCCAATTTCATCTCCAAATTCATTTAAATATGTAATCCATTTCAACAATAGTTTAACCTAAGTTTTATTTTTTCAAACACATAATAATATAACTTGGCCTTATGGTTTTCCTAATAAGAGATGTGATTAGTATATACGTATAATTTAGGATAATATTGAAATATTCAAAAAGTTTACTGACCAATTTAGAATGATCATAGTTTGGGGATGAAAATGAAATATTCAAAAGTTTGAAGATTAATTTAAAATGTTATTCATAATTTAATGATGAAATTGAAATATTCAAAATTTGAGGAATCAATTTAAAATGAGTGTCGTAGATAGGGGAAATATAACGCAATTAACTCAAAAACTATGTATCAAATTGTAGAAAAGAGTACAGTTCAAGGGATATTTTATGAATTAACCCAGTCTTGCATTACTGCATTGTTGGTAGAACATAAGGTTTTTAATCTTGAGGTTGTGGGATCGAGTCTTATGGAAGACATTTAATTATTTGGAGATCTCCTACGAAAGTTACTCTCAACACTATGTTAAGAACAACCTACTATTTTACCTCTGCTAACTCTATTACATATGAGAACAACCTTCCCTACCCCCGTTACATATGGAAACGGGACAATCAACCTTGCATTACTGCACTGTGTCCACAACAAGGCCCCTTAATTTAGATGACCCGAAATCATACATTTCAGAGCCGCCATTCACAGACTCAACTGCTGAATTCCATTTCCGCCCTAATTAAAGGTATTTCCTTTTCCTCTTCTTTTCCCCTCTTTTTTCAGTCTCCATAGATTCCTTTTTTTGTGTGGGGATTGAGGGATATAGCAAAGGATTTAGGGTTTCGAACAGTGTAGAATTGATTGAATTTGGGATTTTAAACACGATTTCCCTAATTCCCGATTTAACATTTTTCTTCCGTTTCCTGTTATTGATGAGGAATCTATGTGTATCTGATGAACTTTGAACTGGTTGCCATTTTTTTTTTGGGAATTAATCAAATTTCCTGCCTCAAGTTGAGTTATTTCATAAATGGGGTCTTGATAGGTTTAAGATATGGAATAAATGACGATATTGAGAATCACATGGTGAGTGAATTTATAAGTATGTTTGAAGTTCCATGAAATTTGTAGGGAATTTAGCTATGTTTGTGCAGGATTCATCTTTGAGGAGAAGTTGCCTTCACACTATCTCGATGTCATCGAACTGAGATTACGAATATGGATTTGACACTGAATTATTGAACTGAAGTATAGGGTAGAAATTTCTTTACTTGTCTTCTCGGCATGCTGAGGGGTCCGAAAGAACCACACTGAGTTGCTGCCATATATGTGTTTGTTTATGAATGGTTTATCTAGGTTTTCTTTTAACAAGAAAAGAAAATAGATGCTAATCGCGGTTTATACGCAGAGGATTATGTTTGTTTATGTTTTTATGTGTAATAAGTTTATGTTCGTTTATGTTTTTGCAGTTTTAATTCCTTACATGATTTGTTGCCTAATTGAAATCTCTATTTCACAGAACATTGCTTTATGTTTCCTGCTGAAAGTTGTTGTCGTCAAGCATAACCACTCAGCAAAAAACCCAGCACATCATTGCCTTTGTATTGGACATTTTACTCTAATGATGGTTGCCTCTTTGTCTCATGCTTCGTACTCGGCCACCTTCACATCCTCACCATCAAAAACCATTGTCTCCCGACCTTCTCGTTTCTCTCCCTCCTTCAAAGTCTCCACCTTCCTGCCTTTGACTGTCAAACCCCTGAATTCTACTTTCACCCCACATGCACAACGTGCGATCACCGCTATAGCGCATGCCACTTCCACACCCTCCTCTATTCCTTCTGACACCTCAACTAAAACCTTCCATGGCCTTTGTTATGTGGTTGGGGATAATATCGACACAGACCAAATAATTCCTGCAGAATACCTCACGTTGGTTCCCTCAAACCCAGCCGAGTATGAGAAATTGGGCTCATATGCCCTTATTGGTCTCCCTTCGTCATATGCCACCCGTTTTATTGAACCAAATGAGACCAAAACAAAATACTCCATTGTGATAGGTGGTGCTAACTTTGGTTGTGGGTCCTCGCGTGAGCATGCACCGGTTGCACTTGGGGCTGCAAGGGCAAAAGCAGTTGTGGCTGAATCTTATGCTAGAATATTTTTCAGGAATTCCGTTGCAACTGGGGAAGTTTATCCGCTAGAATCGGAAGTGAGAATATGTGAAGAGTGTAGGACTGGGGATGTGGTGACTATTGAGTTGGGAGAGAGTCGTTTGATCAATCATACGACCGGCAAGGAGTATAAACTGAAGCCTATTGGAGATGCCGGGCCGGTCATCGAGGCTGGAGGGATCTTTGCATATGCAAGGAAAACAGGGATGATTCCATCTCAGTCAAAGTAAAATGCAGGTACATACATCTTTGATCTCAAGCAAGTAGTTCGTGTATATCATTGTCGAGTTGCATTCTGCAGACATACTAATCTGATTACTATTGATTTGTAGGGTTTCTATCAGAGCACTCTATTCTCGTTTCATGGACTTGAGTCAAGTTTGTAGCTCCTAATCGTTTCGGCACTATGGATCGATGCTCAACCATTTTTCTCGTTTCAACTTATTTAGAAAAACGTTACAAGGTTATGTTTGTATCTGTTCTAAGCTGAACATCTAGCAGTCTTTCACCATGAATGATTTCCCTTTTTGAGGACTACATGTTGTAGGAAATAATTTAATGGTTGAGATTGAATAATACAACAGCATACCTGTCCTAGGAAATAATGTAATGCCATTGTTTCCTAAAGAAAGTATTGCAAACTCGAATGCAGTAATTTAAGGCTTGAGTTCAAACCAAGTGAACCATCCCTTTTCTTGTTTTCAAAAATTAGGTACCCAATTTTTAAAAAGAAAAATCAGGTGTCCAACTATGTTAATCTAAAATTAGCTAAAGTCACAATTTTTTGATTTGTCGCTATCAAAATATCGATCATTATATTAACTTGAAATCGAATTATATTAGTCTTTTAACAAAACAAATCCTTCTCACAGTTGAGACTGGCAGTGATCGGATATAATTGATGATGGTGGCTGTTTGGAATTTGGATGAAATGATGGCGATGAATAGTTTGACGATCATGGAAAGATAATGGAACTCTTGAATATGATGTTCAGGGTCATTGACAATCGAAAGAACATTAGACAATAATTGAATAACTTTTTGATCTACCACTCTTAACTATTGGATTAGCTTAAAATCAAATTATGTTAATCTTCTAGCAAAACAAATCCTTCCCACAATTAAGATTGATTGATGACCACTCTTAACTATTGGATTATCCACAAGTCGAGTACCTATGAAACTCGAATTCTTTTATTTTCGGATCAGGAATACTCACTTCATATTTATGTTGTTTCAAAATTATGTTATTTAACAATCACATTACCAAGTAGCTTATGTGGTAAAGGAACTGTTGTTATTCACTAGGACCCGATTTTGAGTACCATAGATGTCAAAAGTACGTGTGATCAATGTCGAAAGATTAAAATTTATCTTTGAACAGATACTGCCTTATACTTACCGTAAATTAATAAAAAAAATCACATTAACAAATATAAAATTTAAAAATTTATAATATATAATCCAAACCTATAATTTAAAAATAATATACTCGATTTTTTATACAAAACACCTAATTTTGGGTTTAATGTCCATCCTTCTAGTGCAATTAATACCTAATAAGTACTCTTTTCCCAATTAGATACCTAATTTTTATTTTTTAAGGCAATTAAATAACATTTTTTAAATTACACTTTTTAAACTACACGTGATCATATTTAGAATTTTAAGTACATGCTTGTTAATATTTAACACATTATCCACTAAACTAAATGATGTTAAGATCACAAATATAAACCAACCATAATTGAGCACATGTAATTGAAAAATGTTATATTACCTAATTGCACCTGAGAAAAAACTGATGTACCTAATTGCACCAAAGAAAAATAACTACGTATCAAATTAATCAGGTGTACAACATTTATTTTTTAATACAATTAAATACCTAATACTTTTTTAAAATTACAAGAACGAACAGATCATAATTGAGACCATGTAAATTAAAAAAAATGTTAGATACCTAATTGCCTCAAGGAAAAACAATTGCACCAAAGAAAAAAGGTGGGTACCTAATTGGACAGAAAAAGTTAGGTACCATATTGCATCATTAAAAGAAAAGTTTAGTACCTAATCGCACCCAAAAAAGTTAGATACCACATTACACATAAATGCCAAAGTCGGGTCCCAGAAGTTATATTTACCCTTACGAGTATAATATATTTGTATAATTTAAAGTTATATCCAGATTCCAGCCCTGTCTAATATCCCACATAGAACGGCTACCTTGCAAATAACTAGTGTGTTCATTAAGTTGTTCAAACCCAGAAACTGTTTACATACAATTCACATTGTCAGCCAAGATAACAGAGCAATACTTGTGATACAAAGCATCCAACACAGATCATTACTCCTAAAATTGGAATTCCGTTTTTCGATCCTTACATTATACAATGTCGTCCCGGACTCTTTCTCATGCCCGCTTCGGAGGTACATACTGAACGTGCACTTCTTCACACATATTCTGTATGAAGTAAGATCATGTTGTCATTGTATCATCATTTTAACAAAGAAACGAGATAGTATACTCAATTCTTTAAGATTTAAAACTTCTGGATTCGACATTAGAAAATTTTCTTCGATACAATGTATAAACTGTCGTGTTTACATAATGAGAGTTGAAATACGACCCCCACGGGAGAGGATGCTACAAAGAATCAAAGATGACATGAAAACAGTTGAAAAGGGAAACCAAATATTATCATGGAAGGTCTAGATATTTGAAAAGATCCACATCGTGTTTCATACATGATCCATCCAATTCTACTATTGTGAGCTAATCAGCATAATATTTCCGAGGAAATAAAAGGGATAAGCGAATTTCACTCGGGATGAGACACCGTACCTGCAATTCTTCTGGTAGTGCCTCTGAAACTGCAAGAGTGTAGCAACCGGGGACAAATCTCCCTGAGAAGGATTTAAAGAAATGTAAAAAAAACCAGAATATCTAAGGATCATATACAATCCAGTAATGTAAACATATAGTTTGAGCAGGCATCAGAAACCGAAAAGGATATTAAAAAAAATATAATAATAATTGGATAATCTACTATTTTACAGTGAAAAACTATCATCAAGATGACAAAAGTCCGGAGCTTCATAAAGTTAAGAAGCCATGTTGCTCCGACTCCTCATTTTTGTTAGAAATATCTAGTCCAACAGCATGTCCAATCCAACAAATTTTCAGACAAGAATACGGAGGTATGACACGGATTGTCCAAATGCATGGAAAAACTTGGAAAATTAACTACGCTAATGTAGAACATATGCTCACGTTTGAAAATAATACCCGAATTAGAGTAAGGTAGAAGCATTCATATAAACAAGCATTATTTCAGCAATCAACCAATAGAATATCTTAAAATCCAAGGTTCACGCATTTGTAATCACAGTAAGCATATAGTTTGAGAAGGCATCAGAAACCCAAAAGGATAAAAAAGAGATATGATAATAATTGGATAATCTTCTATTTTACAGTGAAAAACTATCATCAAGATGTCAAAAGCCCGGTGCTTCGTAAAGTTCAGAAGCCATGTTGCTTTGATTCTTCATTTTTGATAGAAATATCTAGTCCAACAGCATGTTCGACAAATTTTCAGAAAAGAATACAAAGGTATGACACGGATCTTCCAAATGCATGGAAAAACTTGGAAAATTAACCATGCTCGTGTTGGACATAAGCACATATTTGAAACTAATACCCGAATTCAAATAACATAGAAGCATTCATAGAGGCATGCATTATTTCAGCAATCAGCCTAGAGAATAAATCTTAAAATCCAAAGTCACACATTAGTAAACACAGTAAACTAATCTCACGCAATAAAGCAAATCATACATTTCTAAACCATACAAACCTCCATTATCCATGCAAATACGGCCCTTAAACTTTGAAAAACTTACCAATTCGTAGCCAACGAGCAGCCCAACTTCTAGACGGATCCATCACAGAGATTATCCTAAACAAATTCAGTAATCAAAATTTAAAACAATGCTCAAAGGGATAGGAAAATGCAAAATTAGAATCAATTAGTAATGTAACATTATAAATATTTACAATTAAATTTAAAGAGAAACTAGAATTTCTTAAATTCGACTAGCAAAAATTTTCAAATAAAGCTTAAGTTATAAAACAGAATTAGTCAACTCTATTAAGTCGAAATATTTTGAGAATCAAATTCTCACCCCTACTCAAAGGATAAGAAAATGCAAATCTAAAACAATAGGTTTAGGGATAAAGATACCCATTGAAATTAGGAGTGGTGCAATCGACAACGCGTTCATTATCCTCGTCCATCTTAAAGAATGGACAGTTCTCACATCCTGATTCCCTAAACTGTTATTATTCAAACACCCACAAGAAGAAGTAATTAGTAAAACGCCTCAAAAATGAAATGCTTTAAAGCGAGAAGAAACCCTAAACCGGAAACGGAACAAGTTACCTGATCGTAGGTTTTGACGAGGCGGCAGCGAAGACAAGCCCTGAGCTCGTGGCCGAAACTCGTTGGAATCTGTGCCGGCGCGCTTCCCATTGCTATTTTCCCCAACTTTCCTTAGCGATTTCAGGGTTTTAGTCTTTGGGATTCAAAAAGAGGTATAACAATGGAGAATAGCTCCTAAACGAGGAGTTAGAAACATGAAACAATAACGAAATTACATATTTGTCCCAACAAACGAGAGAATGTATCCAAAACATTATATATATTAAAGTTTGCATTCCAATTGCAACAAATCCGCTGTAGCACAACGGTTAAATTTCTTAAGGTGAAATTCCGGGTTCGAACCCCGGCAGTGGTATTCGTTCTTGTTGCGCGTCCCTAACTTTGTCATTTGTGTACAATATGGTACTAAACTTTTTTTTCCTTTGTGGAATTATATATCTATCTCTTTCAATGGTGAAATTATGTACATGAGATTTTTATTTGGTGCAATTAGTAAGTTATTTTTTTATTATATTCGTTCGATTTTGAATGGTTCATACTTATAATTTTAACACAATTTAGTTAAAATATCATATGTGTCATTGATTTAAGAATTAAACATTGAAATTATAATTTTAAAATTTTAAGTGTCTAATTGCACTGAAAATAAAAGTTTGGTGTCTAATTGCATATAATAAAAAATAAACAGTCGAATTCGTGTAATAAAAAAAATTAACAACTTTGACGATTACAAGGTAACAACTTTTTAAAATCTTTCTTAGCTGTTAACAAGCCACGCACATTTAATTACTCGAATTCAAGCTATGTAAGAAGAGCAATACCACCACTTATAAGCACATTATATTAATAAAAAATTCTTCGTAAATCAAAATACAAATAATTTATTTTTACTCCGATAAACTAGAATAGTAGATATAAAAAACCAATATTCAATTATGAACCCTCATAATTAGGGATGGGTACGACTCGAACTCGATGAGTTCCGACCCAATAGAATCAAGTTTTTTTTTTTGCGCGATTCTTTTTCAATATTTTTTGACAAAGGGTAAATATAACTTTTGGTCCCTAACTTTAGTATTTATGAACAATGTGTCACTTAACGTTTTTCCTTGTGGAATTAGATATCTTATTATTTTTAATGATGCTGTAATTAGGTACCCGAGTTTTTTATTTGGTACAATTAATACTTTGATATTTCAATTGTA